GGAACTGACTCAATGTCACTTAGCAACAGCAACATAAAGAGACGTTTATATCAAGGGCATACCCGTTTGTGGTAACCCTCTAAAGAAAAGTAATAAACTGATAAAATTTGGACAGTGATAACCAGAGGATGGAAGTTTGGGGATCCTCAAAGAGACTCAGATTGTGTGCCTTTTCAATGTTCTTGAAGTTTTGAAAACAAAAAGAAATCTGAAATGGCAAGATCGGGGTGGTAGGGTGGGTGGGGTAAGTTTTCTAATGAAATTTCCATAGGATAGCCTTCCTGCCTTCAAACAATGAGGTGAGTGCATTGTCATGATGGGGAAAATTCCTCAGAGCGACCTTACGGATCTTTTTCTCACTGATGTAGCTTTCCATTTGCTTAAAACACTTCCTAATACGCCCCTGTGCTCATCCTGTGTTCTTTGAGAAAATTCATCAGCATGACCACTGTGGAGTCCTTTGAAAAAGCAGTCACCATCGCCTTCGGAGCTGACTTCTCTGCCTTGAATTGAACTGGCCCAGCAGAACTCCTTGGAAGCCAGACTTTCGTTTCTGTTTTTTTAAGGCATCCTACTAAGACGGAGTGCTGGTGTGGCACTGTGGGCTAAAACGCCAAACTGCAAAGTGACCAGTCGTTCCTCAGAAACCCTATACGGGTCACTATGGGTCAAAACGGCTCGACAGCACTTTACAATAACAATACATTAAGACTAAGACAAATGTACTAGTGAGAAAACTTGTCTGCAGCCATCCACTCATCACAGAGACAAGTTCACACATGTTGTTGGGAATAAACACACGCATATACAAACTGAGCAGGATAAAGATGAGGCTTTCTGCTCCCATAAAGATCGACAGCCTCGGAAACCCTATATAGGGTCGCTGTGAGTCAGAACCAACTGCTCTACAGCACATCCCCACCATATAAACGGAGCCCTAGTAGCAATATTTTATTATTTATCCTCATATATCCTGGTGTGACACTGCAGGATAAGCACTGGACTGCTAACCACAAAAGTTGGAGGTTCAAACCTGCCAACCACTCCTCGGAAACGCTATGCAGAGTCGCTAAGAGTCACAATCGATGTGAGGGCATTTAACAACAACGGCCTTACAAAAGCAAACACCATTCAGCTGTAAAAGCTGAATAGCAGATACCTAGACACCCACCTGTCAGGCCTTCTCTAATATGACTCTGCCCTCCCGCTGCCCCACCATTATCTGAACATCACTACCCAGATTGTACCAAATTATTGCTTTCCTTGAAAGTTTTACCACAAATAGGTATATCCCTAAACAACTATAAGGGAGACTGCTACGTGTCTCTTAATTCCATTTGGTCCATGTTCCAAAATAATAGGACATTGACCTGTGCACATAGCTGCTTAGAATAAATAATTCACTTCCCAGTCTCCCTTGCAGTTAAGAGTGGGCGTGTGACCTCATTCTAGCCAATGAGAAGCAAGCAAATACAGCTTCTAGGTCCAGAAAGTGAGACGGTCTGCTCCTTCCTCCCGTTTCTTCATCCTGCTGCGGGGAACGTAGACGTGGGTGGTTAGAAGCCGTCTTGGAGTGTGCCCACAAGGACAGCAGTGGCGCAGAACTGGAGCAACAAGCTAGAGGGATCCTGGGTCCCTGGACCACTTCATGAGCAGAGCCGCCATGATTGCGCCAGACCATCTCCTCTAGACTGCCGCATGAGAAAAACACAAAGTGTCTTCCTTACATCACCGCTACATCAGAGTCTGTTTCTCATGACGAAACACCATGGCGTATTGGGATGGGGCATTGTTGCATTTTTTACTTTGATACCAATGGAGTTACGTGGTGCCAATTTTTCTGCAGCTTCCTTTCTTCACTCAACTTTAGGTTTTCAAGATTCACCGTGGTCTTGCATGGGGTTGGAATCATTCCTTTCCACTACCCTCTGGACTTCCATAAGGTGCTCTAGTGGTCCAATAGCTAAGCACTCCATTGCTAGCTGAAAGGTCATTGGTTAGAACCCACCAGTTCCTCCATGGGAGAGTCGGCCTAACACTGCTTCCGTCGTGATTCCAGTTATGGAAATGCTGTGAAGAAGTTGTACTCTGTATAGGGTTGCTGTGAGCCAGGACCGACGCAACAGCACAGGTCGTGGTCTGCCCCTGCTTAAATGTTGTTAGGTGCCATCCAGCCAGCTGTGACTCATAAGGCTCCTGTGTAGAACACTGGGAAACGTTGGCCAGTCCCGCAGGACCCCTCACAGCAGTAGGCATGTTTGAGCCCATTGTTGGCCTGCAGAGTTCGCCTGCTGAGAACACCTTCATTATTCCCAATTGTGGTGCAATGAACAGCTTTTATGTGGCCTTTCTAGCCATAGTCTCTTAGCTCCCACAAAATGATTAACTGGAACTATGCAAATAAGGTGTATAAAACTTCTCTGGGGATTGGACAGCCACCATGCAGGTCTGTAAGGGGTCA